TTGTATTGCACACGTGTCAGATTTCCTATCAAACGATCCTTACGGGTACTAATGATTGAAATTCTGTATTTTGAGCATGTCTGTTAGGATAGTGGATTCGATAACACTGGCAATAGTACTAATAAAGAAACAAGAAGTCAAGATCTTGTTCATTACATTGTCCAGTATTGTCCAATACTACCTACCAAAACACGCACTTTATGTTTTGATTCTACTTTCATGGAAATTGTGCTTTACTTGTGAACTTATCAGTTTAAGTTTTTCCTCTTAGGAACTATGTCGTGCAGCATGTCCTCGAGCTTAGAAATAATCTTATAACAAAGAAAATATTGTGCTGTCTTCAAGGTCAGTTTATACTGCTATCAAAGACAAAAGGAGGCAGTCATGTTGTAGAGAAATGCATTGAATCTTCTGCATTAGGATGCAGTTTTGTGGTTACAAAACTTTTAGATTGTTCGAACAATATTGTTCGACTCAGTCAACATCAGTTCGGAAACTTTGTGATTCAAAAAGCCTTATCGAGGACAAAGGTAATTCTTGTTCTTTGCCCCGTCACAATTAGCAACATACATTGAATTAGAACCTATGATAATTCATTCTCTAACGTCTCTCTTCTTGCAGATAGAGCGCCAGATACATCTCCATGAAACTCTCATTGTGATTCTTGAACAGCATGCAAAGAAGCTTAAACTCACCAAAAGTGGCAATCATGTACTTAATCGGCTTGAAGAACTTCGTGAAGCTAAGTTCAACCCATGAAAAATCCATTTTAGGGGAACGAAGAAGTTGAAATTACACCATGTCATTGTTTAGTATGATAGATTATTATCTTTGTTGCTGAATGTTGTTTCTTTATTCTTGTAACGTTTACACAGAACGTGTTGTTACTTCTTGGTGTGATTGAGAATTTATTTTGGTAGTGTCATTTCTTTATTTGTTTTCTCCGAATGTTTTGATTTTTATAAGAAATAAACGATTACCATGACGGAAAGCTTTCATAGCTCAGTTGGTTAGAGCACCCGTTTAGTAAGCGGGAGGTCTTGAGTTCGACTCTCAATGAAAGCAACTTTTTGTATTTTTTGATTGTTTTCTTCTAAAACTAAAAGCCCCTATTTTACTTTATTATTAAAATTTAATATTATTACTTTTAAATCTTTGAAGATGGAATATGTCATAAAATTTTGAATTTTAGGTTCAGTAATATTTCGAATAAATCAACGTTGTTGATTATAGAAGAATATGTATATTATCTAATAGCAGATTTTGAGAAGTTGTGAAAGAGTAGATAATCAGATTTTGATTTTAGTTTCTCCAATTTAAACTCAATTAATAAATATATCCTGTGTTTACTATGATAATTACCCCAAATTGTCCCTAACGTTTTTGGGAGCTGCATTTTCAGGACCTATTATTCTGAACTTTACATTTTGGCTTTTGTTTCCACCTTTCTTTGCGAAAGCAAGACCTATCGTCTCTTGCCATCCAATTTTCCCATTAAATGCACGCGTCCTTCTCACTTACCATCAAGTTATTCTTGTTTATATTGTATTTGTCTACTTGATGTTATAGAACGTTGGTTGTTACATATATATGTATGTAAGTGTGTATATTGTTTGCCTATATTTTCTTTATTTATAAAGTTGTATCCGGTTGCAACTCAATGTTTTTATCTTCTTTGGTGTAACTAATTAATTATATATATGTAATGCTAATTAACTAGTTAAAAAAAAAAAGAATAGATTAAAATATGTAGACTAGTGATATTCAATTATTAGAAATATTTAGATTATTATTTTATAATTTTG